AGCGCATGTGAATGAACAAAATGACGATTTTGTTATTATGGAAAATTATAATTATACAGGTCAGTAAACAGCGTGAAAAAATGTAAATCCCTTAAGTTATTTTGATTTCTTCTCTTCTACAAAGTTCCGTCTCATCCAAACATCACTTGTTTTTGCATATCTCTAAACACAACAATGATTAAAATGTAATTACCAAAAAACAGGTGAACTGTGAACCTTTATCTGAATATCGTATGCTAAAAAATTAATGATTTACTTTCAGTTCTTTTTCTTAAGTTTTATATTTATTATTTTTTTCGTTTTAGAGGGTTCCTTTTGCGAATTATTTTTAAAAAGGGGGAGTTACTCTTTCCTTAACACAAAACGAAGTATATCAATTTTATTTTTAACTATAGTAGATAATCTGTAGAAACTCGATAAAAATTTAATCATTTCGTGTAAGAGATTATATTTTTCATCCTTTTTACTTAACCGCACAGATCGTCATTAATCTGTAGCTTCGTTGAATCTTTGTATGTAAAGTATTCCTACGAATAGGATTTGTGCAGTGCCGTCTCTGTTAAACAAAGCAAACAAAAAAGGGGATATTCATTAATGTCAGTTTCTCTCCGCATTAATCGATCATGATTTTACAGTTCATTTGGAAGCAAACACATCATGGGAATCTGATAAAAATTGTGTTTAACCAAAGATTCGCTTATTATTATTTTGTTTTCGAATATTGGTTTTGATCTGCTTCTATTTCGAATTTTTGTCTTTTTTTTTTTGAAAGGTGGTAGGTTTGTTTACAGCCACACAGGCATGGTACCCAGGATCTGATCACTACTGGCCACTAAACGAAATAAGATACAACCAAGTGTATGATCACAGGTACTTTAACGGATGGTGGAATGGGTATATCAGAGGTAACGAACAACTAATTACTGCCTCACTGAATCTTTGATACTTCTTTCAATCGAAGCGAAAATGAGCTAGTCTTGAGATTTGCCAACAAATGTCAGAAGAGTCGATTCAATTTCAAAAATATTGTTCTGATACGACAGTAATGATTAGTATGAAAATTCTCTTCACGAAGTCAGTTAAGTTCTGATCGCTTCATTGTTTTCTGATTAATACAGGTAATGCCGAGATCACATGGTCTTCACCTCAAATCGGCCTAGATCTATATGGTCCAGATACATGGATCGACTTTGGTGCTAGATACAACTCCTGTTATGTGGACGTGAAATATTGCAACCAAACTGGTTTTAGCGTTGCATTTTGGGTAGCTTTCCAAGAGTCTTCGACTTCGCACGGTTTAATCGAATTTGGAAGTGGTGATTGCGGGCTCAGCTTCGCCCGAACACCTGAAAATGAGATAAATGCAACAATTAAAAGCATGGAATTAAACACCACTTGGAGTTTGCAAAGCGTAAATGCAAGTGTTCGTCACGGAATGTGGCACCATCTGGCACTGACCTGGAACGCTTCTGGTGAAGCACATCTTTTTATCAATGGCACAAGGTACGCGAGTCTCATTGCTTTTGGCTTGAAATTTTTCGTCTGTCAAGCATTAACCGGGAGGGTATTAGGCCTCGGGGCTTGACATAAGGTGGCCGCTACTGGAGTCTAAAACTTTTGCATACTATTTCATGCACATAACATTTCGCTTAAAAGGCGATAATGATCATTACTAGGAAAATTATTTTTGTGGCTGAGCATTTGCAAACCTGGGTGATTTGTTTGACCAGATAAAAAGAGGGAGATGCAAATTTTCGTTTGGTTTAATATTAATTGGGGAGTATCAAATTACAAACACCATTAAGGGTTTCCTCCTCTGATCTTGACGGAAAATATGCCCCATTCGATCAAAACCCTCTCGAATGCGAGTGCAAAATTTTGAAACGTTTCCCTGAGGAAGGGGTATATTGATTTAAGGGCATAGCAGTCGGTATTCTAACTCCGGAGAAACGTGAGCACACGGATTAAGGTCGATCGCGCAATCTTATTAGGCAAAGAGTGCTATGCTGCCGCAATAGACGACTGTCAACTGGATTGCTGGGCAGGAAATGGTTTATCTTTTTCAATGACTGGGAAAAAAAAAGCTTAAACTGGTTCTCCGTCTCTTTTTAATAGATTGAACAATGTAACCAAGCTCACAATTTCTCATGTCTCCTGTTCTCACTCAAATTGCACGTGTGATTGGTCAATGAAAGCCGGTAACGTGCCAACTTTCCGCAACTCAAGTACCCAATCATATCCGTCCTTGTTGCTCGCCAGGCTGGTTTTATGGCATTATGCTGTTAATAATGAAACAGTTCTCGATTCATCGCGAGGTGTACAAGGTAAGAGACTTTTACTTGAGTCAAGCAAGATACAACAGATCAGTGCTAAATTGGGTCAAAGCTTTTTTAATAATAAGAATTTATTCCACATGAGTGTAGAAACGAATCACAATCGAGTCCAATAAATATGTAACTTATCAATGTGATGATATTTTGGTATTGTTGTTGATTATTTTTATTAAATCAAAGATTATCTTGAAATAAATGAAAACCTACGTTGCAAATTCTTTTGAAAATTTGATGTCACGGATACTTGAGAGAGGTCTTGAAATTTTTCGTTTAGGATTATTTCTCTCGAACAGAGGGTGCTACGGCGGTTGGATTGCTAACTTACAATTTTGCTACTACATCCCACCTAACTCTGAAAAGACGTGGTACGAGGCGAGGGAAAGTTGTGTTAAAAAATATCGAGGAAATCTAGTCAGCATTGGGAGCTTAGAGGAAGACAATTTCTTGGAGGATGTGCTGCTGCAGACTGGAAATGTGCCAAGTTGTATGTACATTGGATTGCAGACTGGTCGTGTAGGCTTAACACCGTCTTGGGTAGATGGCAACTTTTGGAACTTCTCAAAACTCAGCACCAAGTACGACCTGGAAAACAGCACTGATTTGTGCGCATACCGAGGCTCGGATGGTTTGTGGCATCTGTCCAACTGCAGCAAGAAATGTCGCTTTATCTGTAAGAGATATAGAGGTGGGTCCTATGAAACAAAACTACAAAAAAACTGCCCTAATGTCATTAATTTTCTTGCCTTCTTTTGATACCAATCAATGGTTGGCTGTGGTTACCTTGCATCTTGTTTTATTTTTTGGGCGAGTTATGTCTTCAGATTCACAACCTGCGTGATTGACTTCATAGGAGTTGTCCGCAAATAAGGCGCAAAAGCTCTGAAAAGGAGGTAATAGTAACTTGCTTCCTGATTTTCGCGGCTCCATGGCATCTAAGTTCCTCTATTGAAAAATCAGCTTTGCGGATATTAGCCACATGAATGTGCTGTTGCTGTTACTGTTGTATCAGAAGTAAACCGATGAAGATTATGATCGGCTTGGGATGTATTTCAAAGCGGAAAAAAGGAAACCAAGAGTGACAAGCATTTAAATTCTCCTTACAAGATCACCCCTAAATCAAACATTGAGGTCACAAGAATAAAGGAAATGATCATCAACTATAAAAAAGGTCCTAATTGTTAAACAAATTCTCCTTGTCAGCACCTTACGATTTGTGTAGAGAACAGTGTGGAGAATATGCATACTGATGTTAGGGTGTTAAGGGTATTAATTTCTCTTTATGGACCGAACTTTTCATCCCCTAATTTTATTTTATTTCCTTAGGTGGCTTATTCAAAAACGCCGAATTTCGTTGTCGAGAGAGAAGATACAACCGCCAGCTCGTAGGACACCGCTTGTCCATACGATGGGTGCTGAATGAGCTGGATTGTGCAATGGACTGCTTGATTTATGGCTCAACATGTGCATCATACAACTATAAACAAAACGACTCGTCTTCAAGTAAGCAAAATATCTGCGAGCTTAACGACGCAAATCAGCACAAAAATCCCGCGAGTCTGATCTACAGTAGAGGCTTTCAGTACTGCGAAAGAGTGTCGTAAGATCTCTTCATGTCGTGTTGTTTCTGTTCTAGATACAGTTATCACAAATAAACTGTCGCTGCTTCCTGGCTGATGAACTGCTCATTGCAGTTTACTAGTTGTAGGCTTATGTATTTTGACTCGTGTTTTTATCGTTTGTTCAATTCCTTTACGCTCAGGATGATCTGCAGCAATGAGAAATCAGAATTATACGAGAGCTCCACCATTAACCAAAGAAGTCTTTTTCTTTCACAATTGTATCCTAGAAATAATCCACGGCCGGCTACGATATACTTGTCTTTCAAATAGGCTGAGTGGCTCAGGCTGCCAGAGTATTCCAAGGTATATAGCAGCAAACGATAAGAAGTAGTTCCCTCACCCATTGGATGGGATTCTATTCCAAAGCAATCTTTCACCTAAACCTCTCCCCTTCCCCCATAGTTTTTTCTGGAGGCTGTTAATCCTCCTAGATACGACGTTAATTTTCTCAGCAACAAAATGCGTGACCCTAATAAGCCATTTCCGAATTACCGTTGACCTCATTTTCAAAGCGAGTCCTGGTGCTCATCCTTTCATATGATTTTAAGTTTTCATTCATTTACAAATTAAACTCATTTTCATACGAATGGTTGAGCACCAGGCCTATTTTGAAAAAGAGGAAAAAAGTAATTCAGAGATGGCCTACTAGGACATTTCGATGCGGACTTCCGCGGGGCTACCACTGAGCCATAGCGTCTCCTTGGACAAGGTTTGTGTTACCTTACTTTTAGAGTTAAGAAACCAATGAAACGATTTAGGAAACTCCACGTTAAATTGTATTTCGGGTTGCTTATATTGAGTTGTCTGGGATAAGCTGCTTCACCAAGTCAGCACTTTCTCAACTTATATAACTTATAATTCGCAACGATATATAATCTTCTTTCTTTAACTATTCAAACTTAAAATGTTTGGTTAGAATAAAAACTGCAAAAGTCTTCTTCAGTAAATTTACAACCTAACATTGTATCATATGCTGGCCTAATATTAAAATATTTCTTTTCTTTAAATATGTTTGTTTGATAAATTATGAAAAAATTACATTTATTTGTTGGGAATTTTATATCGGTGATAATCGTCCTTAATAATAAGAACGCACCTGGCTATGAGTAACATACTTCGTTGTATTATAACGCACGTTTCAAAAGAAACTTCTGTGAGCCTTGGCCGCTAGTTTTGATACTGACCTCTGAAAGAAGGCAGGAGGAGGTTGTTATCGGGACGTGCACCAAAAAAAGGCCAAGATACTGGGAAATTTTACAGCACTCTTAAATAACATGCGAACTATGAAAAAAGAACATTTAGTTGCCTCTGCCGTTAATAAATTGCCAAACCTCCTGAGAGACCAGCACATTGTCTAACATGTGTGAAAAAGGGCTGTATTGTGATTGGAAGATTTTGATGCATTTAGTTTGTTTCTGAACATGAGGTCTGTTAGGATAGAGACTGAAGTTAGCATAAACAAAATCCGCGCTCGTGTTTGATTTTGAGACTCCGACACAGTTCGCATATTATTGAAGGACAAGTTTTAAAGACCACTCATTACTAGGCCTTTTCCGAATTACCTTTGGCCTCCTTTTCAAAACGAGGCCTGGTGCTCACCCATTCCTTTGAAAATGAATTTAACTTGCATGTAAATGAAAGCTTTTAATCATATTTAGGAATGGGCAGCAGGACTCGCTTTGTAGAAGAGGCCAGAGGTAATTCGGAAATGGCCTATTTAACGTTAATGTTCATATCAACAGTTTTCTAGGGGTTACCTCCAGAACTTGATTTGAATCTCGGTGTACTTGGGGACTTCGCCCATTTCCCGCCAAAAAAAAAACAACATGGTTGCTATTGCATAATAATAGGAATAGAGTCCGTTCAAATGAAAGATAATTATTATAGTAATACTTTTGTTTCATTAAATAGCCCTCTTTTTTCAGCAGTAACGTTCACAATGTTCAAAACTGGTCCATGCGCAAACAGTACATACGCCTAAAAAGTATGATGCAGCTCTTTATATGTGAAGCAATTTGTTGACTGTTTTCGTTTAGCTGCGTTTCTTAAACAGTCCACACACTTGACAGGTGACGTGTTCATCATCACTATAGTCAACACCCACCTCATCGACGGTATCTGTGCCGACAGAACCAACTCTGTTGAAGGAAGAATCGTCGGCATTAGTAGAAACAGTTGAGTCTGCATCACTCTTCTTTCTTTGAGATGAAACGAACTGGAATTTCTCGTCGAACGACATGTTATCATAGCCTGAAAGCCTATTTGCGATTTCAGTGATCTCCAGTTCCTCCTCAGTGGGTTGTTTCTTCGGGATGTCCCTCGGGATGGAGGCTAATAATTCACAAAGGTCCAAGTCGTTGGAATCCAATTCAGTTGTCCGCCATTCTGCATTTCTGTCATTTGACTTTTCGTTATCCTGATCGAACAACAAATGAGGCTTCTCTCGCCTTCTTTTACCGCAAGAATTTTCTTCTGATTCACCGTCTACGTTTTCAAAAGTCACGTGTTTTTGGGACTTTCTCTTCTTTCCAGATGGACTTAGTGTAAGATCTTCTATTTCTTCCTTGGACGAGTCGCTGTTTGTAACGTCCCTAAATATAAAAGAAAAACTTTGCAACACCAACCAGTCGACCTCCAAAAATCAAAACTTCAAGGGCAATTGGAGAGGGTTCGAGTTATAGGAGGTGCGAGGAAACGACTGGTAAATCTAAGACGCAAATGGATTTTGGTTTGCGATAGTGCGCTATTAGAAATATTGAGGATTCGAGTTATCGAGAGTGGACTGCTCTGCCGCCCAGAGCTCCAGAGGCAGGGTTCTATTAAGCACACTTGGACTCGAATGAAGACAAAAGACAAAACTCCACCTATAGATAGCAAATAAGTTGAGGAAGTGAACTCCAAAGTATACCTAATGAAAATAATGATGATGTATTTTATAACAGTACCGCGTAGCAACTGTGAGTCCATGTATCTCGGAAGCTTACGAGATTTATAACTGCAAAGGAAAACTCAGAATATTCAAGGATATTGTGCCGTTCGGTAACAGTTACGGACGTTCAATCGCAAGACACAAACTCAGTTTTTTCTGTATCAGAGAAAAGCTGCTGCATCGCGCGCTTCTCAAGTATGGAGGGAAGACACAAAAATATCGAAAATACTTACATTTCGTCCACTGATGGTCTGAAGCTGATACATCTCTCAATTAATATCTTTCTTATGTCCAGCTCGTCTTCCACATCAGTTATCTTCCCTTTGATGTTGTCCAGTTCTTTTTCTAGTTTCTGTCTGTATTCTATGAACTCGAATATCTCTCCCTCTAGGCGAGAAGTATCCTGCATCTGGGATAAGAGTTTGCCTTTCAGCTGCTTTCTTTTGTCGTCTAGTTCAGTTGGCACTTTCAAAGCACAATGGTGACAGACAGAGAGGCCCTTTTCGCAATCTTCCAGCTCATTTTGAAGGTCTGACTTTTCAGTCAAAAGTTGAGTTATCTCATCTTCCCTTGAAGCAAGCTCACATGATAGCCGAGAGAGCTTGCTCTCCAAATTGTCATACAGAAGACAAATGTCGTCATCATCAGCACCAACTCGACCTTCATTATTTGAATCTCTTTCGCGCACTAGTTCCTCCTTCAATCGAGAGAGTAAACTGGACAACTTAACACGTTCTGCCCGGCTAAGTCGCGGAAGCGTAGTATTATTGTTGGGATTTTCTGATATAGGATCACTAAGTAGTCGACTTTTTACTTCATTACTGCGCTCGATATCAAGTTTTCCATCAGTGGTAGAGTTCGTTCCCTCGTACTTTCTGCCTAGCGAGTCCCTTACCGCGTGAACTTTGGCTTTCAAATCCTCGTGTACGCGTAAGATTTCAGTCTTGTTCTCCCTCATTATGCTTACATCCGAGGGATTTAGAAAGCCCTCCTTATCCGGAAGAAGGCGAAAAGTAAAAAGAGACTTCAATGTAAATTGTTCGCTGACATCACTTCCAATTTCGCTACTCGATTCTTCCGTTTGAGTGTCATTCGAATCAGTAGATGTTGGCCTCAGTCTATAGCGCTGAACAGTTTCCTCATCCAATCCAAGGTAACCGATAATCTTATCAATAGGAATGTTTAAATCTCTCTGCAAGGTCAATATACCATTTATGAGGCCAAGAACTTCCTGTTTAAGGTGTTCCACTGTGCGACTTGCCTCGAGGATCCTTTTCTCCAGGGAATCTTTCTTTTCCTTGAGCTCTGTAAAATCTAATATTCCATGGCCTACCTCATCGCGCATGAAAGCTGATTCTCTCTCCAAGTCTGTTAATCTCTTCTCTAAGGCGGTTTCGTTTTGTTTATGAGTGGCTATCTCCGATCGCATTTCCTTGGCTTTTTCGCTGCAAAATGCGGCATAAGTCCTTAAGGTAGTCGCTTCAGCTGATTTCAGATTCATTTCATGCAGCAGGCATTCGTTATCTGAACGACAAATTCGAAACGTTTTCTCGACAATTGACAAGTTGGCCTCAAGAGTTTTTATTTCTTGGATGAGCCTTTCATTCTCTTTGGCCATCTTCGAGTTTTCATGTTGAAGGTCATCGATTATGGTTTGCCGCTCGGTTTTCTCTCTTTGAAGATTTTCTACGCCCACCTGTGTTGTTTCAGAAATCTCATTGCGTTCTACTTTATCTTTTAGGGGTTGGAAAAAAGTCTCGGGATGCTCTTCACCAATTACTAGGGTTGACGCTGTGGTATCGCTTTTAGAGTCTACTTCCGCAGGGTGCTCGTTTTCGTTTGTTGATGCCGTTTCGCTGGCCCGAAGTCTCTCCACTTCCTGTTGAAGTACAGACACTTTTGTAAGTAACTTTTCCACTGATTCCGCGTATCTGCAGAGACTTCTTTCCTGTTGAGCTTTATCTCTCTCACTGTCGTCAAGTTCAGTTCTTAACTTGCATACCTCGCTTGAAAGATCCACAGATTCATTTCGCAAATTTAAAATTTCCTGGTCCCTTTCAAGTAGGTCCCT